AACGATTAGCAAAAGCAAGGGTGAGATCCATGTGGTACTGCCAGGATAAATCAGACTGAATGTTGACACACTTGTATTTGTTTATTGAAGTGAATTCAGCAGTATCGTTATTCAGAAGAAGAGAGGTTGGAATCTGAGACAAGCATTTGGTAAATGACATATGTTTTGCTTTGTTATGGTTGAGGGTCATTAGCCATAAGGAACACCACGTGGTTATCTGTTCCAGGCTTGATTAGAGAGCTTGGCGATCGGTGTTAGAAGAAATGTCATGGCAGATGACACAGTCGTCAGCAAAAAGACGGACATGAGATGAAACGCAAGTGGGTAGGTCATTTATATTAGCATAAGTAACGGCTCCTGCGCGCTTCCTTGTGAAACTCCAGATGCCACTTGAGCGAAATAGGGGTTGGAATTGTTAATGAACGCGAACAGAAGTTTACTTGAGAGAAAGTTGTATTCGTGAGAGAACTTTAGGATGAATGTTAAGCTGTGCAAGTTTTAGTAAACGCCTGTGATGGGTAACGCGATCAAAAGCCTACGAGAATTCGAAACAAATCGCGTCAATTCAAACATCAACATTAAGAGATGCATGTAATTCGTGAACGGAACCGTGTCACATGAGTAACCCCTGCGAAAATCGTGCTTGAAAATAACCTTATGGTTTTCTAAATAACGCATGACTTGAGAATGTAGGATGTGCTCCAGAAGTTTACAAATAGTGCTGGTAAGAGAGATAGGTCAATAGTCCAGTGATAAAGAGCGATCGCCGGATTTCAAGTCGGGATTTACCTCAGCTATACGCCAGTCTTAAGGAATTTGACCTACAAATAATGATTGCGAAAAAAGGACTCTCAGAATCCCAGAATGGCCTTACGCAGTTTTTAAGTATATTGTTATTTAAACCGGTGTGGTCAGAGGCAGATGATATTTTGAGCTTATTTAGTAGATAGCATGCCGGTCTCTTCGATCACTATTTCAGACATAGGCATATCATCAAAAAAGCTTAAGGTTACACTTTAGGTCATTGAACGTTGAAAGGTATTTGGCTTCCTTGCTGGATAATGCAGTTAAATTTTACTTCTTGCTGCTCACAAAATGGAATTTAGTGGATAAATTGGCATGCTGGATGGAGATTCAGCATGACAATATATTCATTTATTGACCGCCTGTCATTAGTATCATTTGCCCAATCGGCGTCATAAAAGCCTTGCACACAACCTCCTGTCTTCGTGTATACGAGGGTAAAGCTTTTTGTTTGTCGCACGTACCTCAAGATGGGCTTTATGCCGTTCCACATCTCCAAGGTCGGATGCTCACCGAATTGGCTTATACAAGTGGTTTCGAATGCTAAGACTGGCCTTGTGCCCTCGCAAAGAAAAAACGCCCCAACTACTTGTCGGTACCTGGGCTTCAACTCTCTGTCTTCATCAGGGGTAGGCGCTCTCTGAAACTTTATTCCAGGATAAAGCGGTGATGCTGCCCTTTTACCACTCGTCATCCCAGATGACTCTAAAATTTCTTCGGCGTACGCTGCTTGATTCTATGTGAGTGCTCCACCTTCATGTCGCATAACTATGATTGACAAATGTCACTAACCTCTCAGCGGTCCTTGGTGTTGAATGTGCGAACAATGCTTCTCTTGAAGTGATCGCCTCTTCCTCCTTTGCCAGCATCAGGACGTCATCCACGTAGACCCCTTCGATGATGTTTCCCCTTAATTAAAGTACACGCATGGATTCGCCTTGGAGCGAGAAAAGCCTTCCGTCTCCAGAGACGTGTTAAGTTATATGTTCCATTAACGTCCAGATTGACGTAATCCATGCAGGCTCTTCCTTAAGAGACAGACGTCGCCCTTGCGGTCCGCGTACTTGGCAGGTTGTTCCATGTACACGGCCTCTATCAAGGTTCCATTTAATTATGTAGCAGTGATGTCAACCAGATAAATTATGCAGTATTTTTTCAATCACTATTGCTAACAGCGTTCGCAAGGACTTATTTTTTTTATTTATTTGAGAATACTGCCGGCCAACTTTTGAGGGCCAAGGCATGGTGGTGGAAAGATAACGTCAGGGAATGCTAGTTCGCGTACATGCAGGAATGAAAATAAAACAAACAGGTAACTTGCTCATTGGAAACAAAGAAAACACCATCGATTGCCCTAGCAAACGAAGCAGCGGAAACAATAGCTGTCACGCCCTGTAGGACAACGCATTCCACTCGCACACGGTTCGAGGAAAGAATTAATGTTTAAAAATATCTTTTTTGCAACAGAAGTCACGGAGTAGTTTTTCATGTTTCTGCCTTGTATCACGGCTATCATTATACTGCAGATACTTATCAAACTTGAAAGCAACTTTAAACTGTATTATGTTATGCAAAAATTTCAAACGTTTTAATTTCCTTCTAGTGATAACTCGGTTAGACCGGATGCTGCATACAACGGTGTCACATGTGAGTTTTTGCCGTACGAATTATAAATGAATCTAAGAGATTTTTTAATGCTTTCTAACTGGTCAACATGCGATTGTGAATAAGGGTGCCATAATATATCAGCATATTCCAGCAGAGGCCGGATTAGAGATTTATACGCCGTGAGCTTCGTCTCAGAAGTACAGTGGGTCATAGCCCTTCGTAACGACCACAATTTAGTGGACGCCTTTGCAATAACCTGCCCAATGTGATGAGCCCAACTTAAGTTTGACGTGATTGTAACACCTAGGTACTTATACTCATTAACTACTTCTAAAGCGTTTGGGTCAATGGTACAGGAAAATAAAAGGGGAACGTTTTTCAGCGTTATAGACATTTGGACACACTTCTTAACATTCAAATTCATTTGCCACTTCTGACCTTATGAAAAAATAATTTTAACGCTGTCATCTAAACATTTTTGATCCGACATGCTAGATATCTGGGAAAATAATACACAGTCATCAGCGAAAAAACGACACTGTATAGAGGGCTTATCTACTCGCGGGTCGTTTAAAAAAAAAAAAAAAAAAAAGAACAGCAGCGGACCGAGCACCGAGCCCTGAGGCAGTCCAGAAAGAACAGGTAACTCAGTGGATTCACCTTTGCCCACACAAACAAACTGTTTGCGGTTCGTGAGGTAAGAATCCAGCCACCTCAGGAGACATTCATTGTCAAGTACTTGCTTCAGCTTATGTAATAACTTCCTATGCAAAACTCTATCGAACGCCTTAGCTAAATCCAGAAAAATAGTGTCAACCTGACCGTCATTGTCGATGGCTAAGGCAAAGTTGTGGATCGTGTGAAGAAGTTGAGTCACTGTCGAGTATCCTCGTCGGAACCCGTGCTGTTCATAAACTAAGAACGTTTCTGATTCTAGGAAAGTTATGATATGCTTGAAAATAAAATGTTCGAGAACTTTGCTACACGCACTTAAAGGAGCCCTCCGGAGCGTTCTGCGATGGTCTATTTATGGCGGTAACTCAATCTACAGGCCCTAAGGATCCTAAAAATCATAAAAATCATAAAATTACCGTCATGCGCGGCGGATTTCCCTATTAAAATTGCTATCAAAGTCCCCGGCACGCCCCCCTTTCTGAGATGAACCCGGAAAACGGGAGGGGCGTCTTTTTACGCGTCAGCCAATAGCAAGCGAAGGATTCCGGCGTCACTGCGCGTCACCAACGCGGCCGACCGCCGACCCGCGGAAGAATCTCTCGAACACGCGCGGACCGTCGTCAAGGAGCCCGGACTTTGTGCTCGGCAGTCGTCGTTCGTCGCACCGCACCGTCGCGGTGCTACTGCAATACGCAGTCGCGTTCCGCCGATGACAAGGAAAAGTTTGACTCGTTGACGTGGAAGGATCGCAAAGCTGGCTTCGGAGTCGGGATCCACGGGAAGAAGGAACACGTGTCCCGCAAACGCACGCCTGCAGACGCCCCGTGAAGCAGTCGAGCCGACGCGCCGACGCATCACCCCCTAGCTGCAAGCTTGCGGGGAGAAAACACAGTTCGCTGGTTTTGGAGCGATAATTGCGGTCTATGTTTCCCGCACCACAATCAGTTCACGTTTTTCTCAAGCAATAATTTACAACAAGCTTAAACAGTGTTGCAATAATAACGTTCGCATTCACCGCGAGATGCAGCATTTCCATTGGTCAAGTTTCAGCGATGGGCAGGGAATGGGGGACGGTCTTCCAAGAGAAAATAGTCCCGATATATTTCTACTGCTATCTGCTTAATAAACGGTTTTGTAATCTAAAACTTTGTATATATATTAACTTGAACCAACCACGCAATATAACAACATAAACAGACGATCGCAGAATGCTCCGGAGGGCCCCTTTAAAAGCGACGCTGGTCTATAGTTGCAAACACTCTTTTTTTTCTCCACTCTTATATATGGGCATTATCTTAGCTACTTTCCAGTCTAGTGGCACCTCAACCGTTTTTAAACTGCAAAAGTTGATCCAAAAAAGAAACTTGGAACACCATTCAGCATACTTATGTAAAAAAGCATTAGGACTTCCGGCCGGGCCGCACAACTTCCTAATGTCTAATCGCAAAAGACTTCCGAAAATACCTTCTACTGAGATTACTAAGTCACCGATCCCACAATTGTTATAAGTAAATGACGGCAAAACAGAGTTGTCGGCTGTGTAGACAGAAGGAAAAAAGTAATTGAACTCGCTTGCGATGCTCTCTTTATCGACAATCGCCCTTCCGCTATGACTAAGCTCCTTAATCGTCACACTCTTTTTTGTCAAGTGCGCCCAAAACTTTCTTGGGTTTTCCTTTAGGAAGTTGTGCATTGTGACATTAAAATAACGATATTTCGATGTGCGTACTAAGTAAGGTTCGTAACTTGACGTAGATGTGGAAGCTTAAAATTTTGACTTGGTTGGAACCTTTCTAATCGATTTATTTTTCATTTTAGATGTAAGATATCTCGCGTCACCCATGAACTATTCTTCTTTCTTTTTGTTGAACGCTCTGGGAACAAACTTCTCAATACATGTAAAGACGACCTGCTTAAAAAAAGGGCCAAAACTTATCCACTGACTCATCGTTTTTCTCGTAAAAAATAGTAAATCTGCCAAGAGCAACTTCCAAGAAGTCGAGAATATCGATATCGCTTGCCAGGGTGAAATCCCGATAACGTTTAACCTCAGGCACTTTGCACGAATAATGCGGAGCAGATAAGTCACACACAACTATTGCGTGGTCAGATATATCATCCGCGATTAATATATTCAGAAAACGTCTGGCAACGACCTCAGATAAAAACACAAGATTAGGTAATGACTCGCAACCGTTTGACGTGGGACATGGGACCACCTGGCTTAAATTATTGCTAAAAGCAATATCAACAATCAGTCTTGAAGGTTCACAGCTCCCTTTGGGCATCACGCTGCCCCAGTCTACGTCTGGCAAGTTGAAATCACCGGCCAATACTACTCGTGAAAATTGCTTAGTTTTGAAATAAAGAAATTCAAATAAACTACGTAAAACATCGATACTAGCCTGGGGACATCTGTACATTCCTCTTACAAGCATTAACTGGCGACCAAAAGATATAGTAGCCCAAACCATTTCACACTCATAGTTGTGTTCAATGGACGTGCACTGAAGTGTCTCCTTGAGCCCTCGGGGAGCCGAAGCTTGAGGGGAGGGGAGTGTGGTGGACAGTGAGCGGACTGCGTGTAGAAGACGGCGCCAGGTGGAAGAAGAAAAGGGGACGCTCGTGGTAGGTGCGCGAGGACGAGAGTTCGAAGGGCCGTGACAAACGGAAGAGGCGGTGCGAAACGAGCCCAGGGAAGACCCGGACCACAAGGCAGCCTTGGCCCCCGCAGCACAACTTGAGTATCTATAAAGTGTTTGTCTATGATAGCGCTCCTTGTGTGACTTCCTCGGAGCGAGTAGAACTTGGCCTGATCGGGAACTGACAGGCGACCCACAACGCTCATCGTCCAGCCTAAGGGCTTCACCACTTGAGCTTCACCACTAGCGAAAAGGTCTTTTTGAAGTCAACTTCTGCTAGTCGAGAATAACCCCAGGTCAGAATAACACCAGGCACCAGGTCACCGTTATGGTCGAACTTCTTCTTAAGTACACATTTGCATTTGATGACTTATTGGTCCTTTGGTCTTGAAACTATTTCACATGTGTCATTCTTCTTCAGGTTGCCTAGCTCATCTTCCACGGCTTTTCTTCATTCCTGTGTATCAAGCATCGAGAATGCTTCTTCCAATGTTTAAGGATCATTTAAACTGCTTTGTCTCGTCAGACAACAGGAACAATGGGGTAACGGAAGCTGCCCCTTTACTGCGAGATTCTCCGAACATCTTGACACATTGGTGTCTTCGCCACTTGAGGAGTAAAAACATATTCCTCTTCTGAGATCTCTTTGTCACAGTAGGTGGTGCCATCATCACCCCTCTCTTCCTCAGGTTGGATCTCTTCATCAACAGTGGCTGTGATCAGGTCTACAGCACCAACTCCGCCTGTTCGCCGCCTCTCGAGCCTGTCTTGCATGAAAAGTTATTTTCGTAAAAGGTTACGACAAGACTGAACAATATCTTATCGTTGCGTCAGTCTCAGAGTTGCGGGTCGCACTACTATACTGCTGCCCAATCGGTCCCTGCCTGGTCCGCCCTCCCAAGAACTCACACGAGCAAGGATTGATTCAAATCATTTTACTGTTCGGCGTCTTGATTCTGGGCCTGGCAGTCGCTGTCGTTGTCCTGACCGTGCCTGGCGGAATCCTCGGGCACTCTCTCACGCGCACCGGGCCGCCGGCCACCGCTCCTGCCCCCTCGCGCGCCGTCGTCCTCCTCGGCTTCCCACACTTCCCCCCCCCCCCCCCCTCTCAAGGCCCGGTCTTCGGGGGGCCCCGAGTGCTCACTGGTTTTGGCCGAGGAGTTGTTCCACCTCGGCCATGATGGCGTCGTCGGAAGTCGAGGGGGACGGAGGGGGCTGGTGGACGACACTGGCCTGATGGCTTGGGCCGCAAGATTTGGTGGCGGCCGATGTTGTGGGGGCCGTCGTGGTGGCGGGTTCGATAACAGCGGCTGCGGCAGCCGGTGCGGCGGCACGGTTTTCGGGAGGCCGGGCTGGCTGGACGGAGGCCAAGGCAGCGGGAGCCAGGAGGTCCGGGCGGCTTGAACTCAGGGTCTGGACCGCTGCCGCCACGTTGTCCGGGAGGGGCTGTGCCTTCAGCAGGTCAGAATGGAGTCGACCTGCTTCGTGGGTTTCCAGATGTATTATCGGGACCCCGCACAGCCAGCAGGTGTCAGGCGCTCCCAAGACCCGTGGCGCCGCCGGCTGCATGTGGCCACGGAACGGGAGTGGGACTTGGTGGTCGGGCTGGCCAGGCGTTGGTCTGGGTTGATGCTTCCAACGCCGGCGGGAAACGAAGTGGACCGCCCCTTCTTCCTCCCACGCCGTCCACGTGGCCACGGTGTGCCAGGGGGGCCGACTCCAGGCAGGTCCCCCGGTCGTAGACGGACCCGCTCCGTGGTGCGGGGGCTCCGTCGCGGACGGCCCTGCCTGGTGCCGCGATGTTGCTGCGGACGGCCCTGCCCCGTGCCGCGTAGGCCTGCCGGCTGCCGGGCTCGCGGTACCTGCGGAGCCCGGGCGGCGCTGGCCCGCTCCGTTGTTCGGCCATCCCCGGTGTTGACGCCTCCCTGGGCGGCCGCCCCGAGGGTTTGGTCGACCGGACCACTGGGGTCCAGCCGCCCCGGGGCCTGGCCCGTCCGGTGGGCCTCCTGGGTATGGCTCCCTGGGGCGGTTTCTCCAAGGAGGCATCCTGTGTAGAAAGAACACTGTCAGACACCGGAAAATCATCACTTTCTGTGGCCAAATGTGGCGGCGGCGGTAGTTTTCATTCACTATGTTCCCCATCGCGACGGTAATACCCCTTCAAGTCCGAGATGTGAACTGGACCCGACTCCTCATTTGTATCACACCGAGTGAGTTTATAAGTAAGCCGTGACATTCGCGTCTTTACCTCATAGGGCCCTTCCCATCTATGAGCAAGCGATGCGGCGAAACGGCTAGCTGCGTTACTCAGAGGGTGGGTTCTTCTCAGGACCAAGTCACCAACCTTGAATTCCAAGTGCCTATGGCTCCTGTCATACTGCGCCGCTTGCTCGATCCTTGCGGCATCAAGATTCTCTCTGGCATCGTGCAGCGCCCCAGAGAAGCGGTTCGTTAGCTGCTCCGCGTACCTAGAGAGCGGGCGTCCTGGTGTTCCTTGGTTGCTCCGTAACTCGTTCTCCAGCGGAGACGGGATCCCTTTACCCAGGTTCAGAAACGCTGGCGTGAAACCAGTCGATCTGTTCACAGTATTCCGGATGGCAAAACCCATCTCAGCGATGTGCTCATCCCAGTCTCGGTGTCTCTCCGTTAGCGCGATCAGCATGCTTTTGATATCCCGATGCACACGCTCAGTGATATTGGCTTGGGGATGGTACGGTGTTGTCCTCTTGTGCTTTATGTTCAGCGCCAAGCAGGAGTCCACGAACACTTTACTAGTAAAATAACTAGCGTTATCACTAATGAGACACCTGGGTGTGCCGAAGCGTAGGAAAGTATCCAGTAACTTTTCCCAGATCCGCTCTGAAACCAGCTTCCTCAGTGGGTACAGCTCTGCCCTACTGAAAAAAACCATTTGAAATTCAAACGGGTGGCAAACTGGTCGCCCGTTTGAATCAAACCTGTCGATCCGTTTGGATCAAACGTGATTATGGGATACGGGTACCCGTTTGGAAACGGTACCCGTTCGAAACGGTACCCGTTTGATACAGGTGCCCGTTTGATACGGGTGCCGTATGGTACGAGTACCCGTTCGACATGGCACGTGACCACACGTTTGAACGTGCCCTTCGAAATTGCAAATTATGCGCTAGCCCTAAATGGGTATCGTCTGGGAGGTTGGTTATCTTAAACATATTTAAGACGTCCCGAAACTCATAAACGTATTTATAACATGGAGAAAACACGTAGAACAAATGCACTCGCGTAAGTGCTTGTAAGTGGACAGGAAAACCGACACAAAAGATTGTTTTCGATTCTCCTCGAAGTTTATTACCTCTTCTGTAGACAAGTACAAACGTGCAAGCGATCTGTGAACACTATACAAGTAGACTTTCGGGGAAATTATTCTCCTGGCTGCCGCGCGAATAGACGCTGCATAATTCTTTAGATAATTTAGAAGAGTACGCGTAGAAGAACGATCAATCGTTGCCAACACGTAGGTTGAAGTGCACTTACCATAACAATAGCGGACTTGAAAGAGGTAATCCGTGATATTTGTCGACACGGTCAAAGCAGGACAACCACACAAACACAAACGAGAGGGAACGGCTCCTTGGAAGTTTCAACACGATGCGGCGCACAAGCTGTCATTTGCCGAACCCAACCAAACCGCGAGAATTTGTGACTTCTTTGAAGAATCGCTCGTTGCCGACATACACGTGGGTCTTTTCGAACACTGATAGCTTTGGTGCACATCCAATACGTTGTCGAGACATCCCAATAAGACCGCAGGGTTAGGCGACAGATTGAAGCAGGTAGGACGAGCGAACTTCGAGCAGCAACTGACAACAAGCAGACAAAAAAAAGCGGCTGCAAGGCGCGCCCTTCCGGATCTCGATGCTTATCAGCGTGTAGCTCGCGCGCTGCTGTGGGTCACGTGACAGGGGTGACAAGAGAGGAGGGAGGGCCCCTCTCCCTCTCTCCAGGCATTCCAGGGAGATGCGTTTTTGTAGTCCCGAAGAACAAACGCGCGCGCGCGCGCGCGCTCGAACTTTGGAAATGGCGGCGGGGCTGCCAGAAGCTCGGCTTGCGCCCGAGCGAAGAAAGAACTCAGCGCAAGCTCGGCGGGCGAGCTCTCGCAATGCTCGATGTTCTTGCAGCCGCGTGTACGCGTGCTACCTTCGCTGCGTCTTGAATTAAAGTGAAACGGAGTCTAGACGTACATTCTTTCACGCGGTCGCGTCTTCGGCGAGAGAGATTCGAGCTGAATAAGTAAATTGAGGCAACAAAGATGGACAAATTATTAAAGGTCTGTCAAAAATATCGGCTCACCAACGTCGCGCGTTTATGTAAAACAAAAAAAAAAAAAAGGTGTTAGTTTTAGTTGCAGTATAATCGAAAATCAGCGCAATTGAAATATAAATATAATGACTTGCATTACGCGGACGATCTGAAATCGATGAACCGGCGCTCCCAGCCTTCCGGAAAACATTGGCTGCCACGGCTGAAACGCTAGGCGTGCCCACGCCGCCGATCTGTACGTTCAATATCAAACGGGCTCCGGAGAGCCGTTTGATTAAACCGGTGCAGTTTGCAACATGGTCGCCGGTTTGAGCAAACGTGTGACAACTTTGCCCAAACGAGTCGCCCATTTGCCCAGACGAGCGACCCGTTTGCCAAATAGGTGACCGTTATGGCTCATACGGGGGACCCCTTTGAGCCATAAGGGCGACCCCTTTGACAAACTGGTGACCAGTATGGTTAAACGGTTACCGGTATGGACCCGTTTGTTTTCATATGGGCGCCAAATGGTTTTTTTAAGTAGGGTGCCCACTTTGAGAAATGATCGGTAATAACCAACAGGTACTGGTTTCCCCGCGGACTTCTCGGCAGTGGGCCGATG